AGACAATAAATAAATAAAATAAAATCTTATGACAGCCAGTACCTGTAATCTAGCTTCTCAGAAGGCTGAGGCAGGATGATCAGTAGAGCCCAGAATATCCAGGCCAGCCTGGGAGGTATGTCAAGACCACTACCCCTGTTTGTTTGTTTGTTTATTTATTTATTGTCATTTTTTGAGACAGAGTCTAGTATGCAGTTCAGACTGGCCTTGAGCTCACTTTGTGGCCCAGGGTGGTCTCGAACTTGCAACTATCTTCCTGCCTCAACCTCCCAAGTGCTGGGATTACAGGCGTGTGCCACCACGCCCAGCACCCGCCACACCTGGTTTAAAAAAACATTGAGAGAGAGGCTGTGACACTTCAAGGATAAGGTTCATTGGACCAATGTCTACAAAGAGGCAGCGTGGTCACTCCTCAGGATGGCCCCAGGAAAGAACACTGAAATCTTAATTTTAAAGTCAAAACTGGGTTTGGTGGCACACAGCTGTCACCCCAGCACTCAGGAGGCTGAGGCAGGAGGACTGCCTTGAGCTGGCTATCAGCCTGGGCTACATAGTGGGACTCTGTCTCAAAAAAACAAAAAGAAAAAGGTCTAGGCATTGATGTACATTGAAGCGGAAATCTTGAGCCAAATGAGCAGAGAGTGGGTTTATTCCTGAGACCAGCAGTTTTACAGGACACTAAGAAAAGCCTTTTGTCTTCCTGAAGGATAAGCAGAAAAGGGGCACTATTAGAAATAGCTGCTCCTTCTCAATCATCAAAGAGGTATAGGACTTAAATCACGGGACAATAACAGTGGACTCAAGTGAGAGGAACAAACTAGGAAGTCAACAGGAGGGAAGCTTCTGAAAGCCCATCTGCTTCACCAGAGAGAAAAGGTGTCCACATTAATGGGAAAGATGCCTACGAGGCAGCAGTGGACCTTCCCGTCCCACTTCCCGAGAGAGCCGACAAAACACAGATGTGACCAAGAGGAATGCACTGCAGTAAGCTGCACACAACCGCGAACCCCCTCGCCATCACTTTAAACACACACTTGCCAGGCGTGGTGGCTCATGCCTGTGATCCCAGCACTCGGGAGGCTGAGGCAAGAGGATCGTTGCGAGTTTGAGACCAGTCCGGGCTATGCAGAGAGCTCAAGGCCAGCCTGAACTGCACAGCAAGACCCTATCTCAAAAAAGACAAAAATAAATAAATAAAAAAAAAAAAATAAATAAATAAATAAACACACACTCATCCCATGGTCCTTGACCCCTTCTGCAGCAGCTCTAGAGTCCTCTTTCCTCAGTGTCTTTAGGTGCTGTGTGTGGCTGCCTTAATGTCCTGAATCCATTCATGGGTGTGTTTTTTTTTTTTTGAGACAGGTCTCGCTCCTCCTGCCTCAGCCTCCTTCAGCCTCCCAAGTGCTGGGATTACAGGTGTGCGCCACCACGCCCAGCATGAATCCATTCAAAAGTTTCCCTTCGTGGTCATTCTGACTTTGGGAAGGAGTCAGAGTCACAGTGTCAGACGTGGTGAATAAGGTGGACGAGGACACGGCATCATGGTTTTCTTCTCTTTGGTACCGGGAATCGAACTCAGGACCTTGCACTTAAAAAAAAAAAAGGAACTTGCAGGACCTTGCACTTGCCAGGCAGGTGCTTGTGCTGCTAAGCTATATCCCTGGTCCTAGCATACTGCTTTTATGAGCTGCTTTTCCACTGGGTGGCACTTGGCAGCAGCATTTACCAGATTTTTGATCACACCTCATAAAGATACTGGGGAAAGAGGACTCCAGAGCTGCTGCAGAAGGTGACAAGAGGGGCTGGGGATTTAGCTCAGCGGCACAGCCCCTGCCTGGCAAGCGCAAGGTCGTGAGTTTGATTCCCGGTACTGGAAAAAAAAAAAAATAGGTGACAAGAGCTTGGGGTGAGTGTGCTTAAGAGAAGGGGGGAACCGTAAGATTCACGGCACTGTGTCTCCTACTGTAATACACATTTGTAACTGTGAAATTCACTGTATATATTGATCACCTTGTGTGCAGATTTCTAACCCTCCCTTCACCAGGACAGTGAGTTTTGTCTGCTTGCCCGTTCATGCATGCCCCATTCATGCAAGCAGGCCTCGTCGGGGACAGGCGATCAGGAAAACCTTCCTGTGAATTCCTATGTTAAAGCCTGCAGGAAGCCAGGGCCACAGCTGGGGTCCGAGCTCCGTAAGTCTGCACGGGGCCCTGTGTTCTCCCTACACTACCCTGAGAAATAAAAATAATAAATAATAAGCTGGGCATGGTGGTGCACACCTGTAATCCCAGCACTCAGGAGGCTGAGGCAGGAGGATCATTGCAAGTTCAAGACCAGCCTGAGCTACAAAGTGAGCTCAAGGCCAGCCTGAACTGCCGAGTGAGACCCTGTCTCAGAAAGACCAAAAAAAAAAATAATAATAATAATAAATAATAGAAAACCAGAAGGAGCCAAGGATAGTGGTAAATAACAATGGGACAAGTGCTAGTAGAGAACTGAGAGCTTACGCTGTGGTGGTCTCTATACATATTATTTTTTGAGATTCCTATTATTATCTATTATTACTTTCCTCATTCCCAAATAAAGCAAGGCTTAAAGAGGTCAAATCATTTTCCCAGGAACAAACTCCTAATAAATGTGCTAAGAATAAGCCCCAGGCTTCTTCACTCCTGAAAATAAGTCCTGGCTGAGCTAAGCGACTGTACAAACTGAACGCACTCTCAGGGTTTTGGAAGCGAAGGGGAGGAAGTCCTCAGAGAGCGAAGGAAAGGCTTCTGGCCAAGCAGCGAGGGTTTAATTTCTCCTCTTCTTTTCTCTTTGGTCACTCGTCGGAGACTTTTCCAAAAACTCTTACACTTCCTTCCCCGCCCTTCACCTCCAAGGAGAGAAAATATTCTGACTCACGCTGGATGCAGATCCCAGCCCACAGGCGCCCTGGCTGACTCCCTCGCTCATGGACAGGATGGGGAAGGAGGGCGCTGCCTTGGCCACCCACGTCACCGAGTCAGAGGGGGAGAGAGACGCTGTGTGCGGAATTACCGAAGACTTTCCAACCCGGGAGGGGAAAGAGGAAGTCTATTTTCAGTGACAATGACGATGCTAAAAATATGAACAGGCGAGGGGAAAATGCTCATTCTGAGAGTCACCAGTGTGCCGAGTTCTGTTTCCTCATGGTGAATTCAAACTCCAGGCAGAGGGGGTCACCCTGGGCGTGAGACAGCCAGCGGAGACCAGGGGTTTGGCGTGGCTGAGGACCGGCTGGGAGCTCCCACCAAGGACACCGATACCATTGGGCATGGGGACTGAGGCCCCAGTCAGAGGCTCACCCGCAGAGGGGAGCTGTCAGGCTAAGGCCAGAAGACTGGGGAAGCAGAACTGTCGCCCAAGTCACAGAGGAGTAAGCGTGTATCACTTCCTCTTGTCCATCCAACTTCGAATGCTTTCCTACAATACCCCACCATTCAAGCTGGTTTATGGTATAGGTAAAGGCATAGATAGTGGAATTTGTTCTTATATCTTAAATATTTCAGGCGGGGGGGAAAAGCATATTAGGTTAAGCATGGTGGTGCACACCTGTGATCCCAGCACTCTGGAAGGCTGAGGCAGGAGGATTATAAGTTCAAGCCCAGCCTGGCATTGACTGACTTAGCGAGGCCCCATCTCAAAATCTAGAAAAAGGGGTGGGGGGACTGCTGACGTAGCTCAGTGCGAAGGGCTGGGTTCACTCACCAGCATCACAGGAACAGAAGCCGTTAGTCCCCTGCTCCACAGATGCCGAGAAAGGAAATGCTCTGATAAAGAGCCTGGCGTGGGGCCGGGCATTCACACAGATAACTGGTCTTCGGTAAGATAAGGGAATTTTAAGACCATGACGCAAGCATGTGGCATCTCCCTCTCTCACTACCTGAATGTCTGTTTTCAGAAATTCCCGGGGACGATCACGATCACACGCACCGCTCCAGCCTGCCTTTCCACGTCGCACTTCTCATGAGAAGTTCGGCCCGCAAAGAAACCCGGGGCCAAGACCAAGGGGATATGGACCAGTCAGGGTGGACAGCACACAGGCCAGCGGTGTCACCGCCCTGCTCCCTCCTGTTGGCTGTATTAGCCTAACGTAATACAGTAGAGATTAATAAAGAAAACATAGAGGAGGACTCTTCTCACTATGAAAATTAAAAATTTCACAACAAAACAATTAGAGAACAGCAGTAGTTAGTTACACACTGTGTGCCATTATCTTAACAGCCAAAATTTTACTTGGATATAAGTCTTAGACAAAGCATCTCTCTATTACAAAGAAAAAACAAACAGATCATAGCACAAAACTTTCTTTTCAATGAAGAGACACTAGTAGTATAATGAAATAAATCTGCATATATGTGAAATATTTTCAAAGTGATGGAATAGAGAATTTATTTGAATCTCTCCCTACTTCCTACTTATCTTCTATTTTGCTCTTTATATATGTATATATTATGAGTATTTTGTTTTGTTTTGCATGTTTGATTTTTGAGACCGGGTCTGGCTATATAGCTCAGGCTGGCTTTGAACTCACTTTGATCCTCCTGCCTCAGCCTCCTGACTGCGGGGGTTTACAGGTATGCTCAGCATGCCCAGCACTGATACATTTAGTCTATTACTTTTTTTTTTTTTTTTTTTTTCAAGTACCAGGAATCGAACTCAGGACCTTTCGCTTGCCAGGCAGGTGCTGTGCCGCTGAGCTAAATCCCCAGCTCCCTGACACCTGTAATCTAAATGATTCTTATTTCTGCTTAAACATGTGTAGACCTCAAGGACTGGGTAGAAGCCTTCCATGCATGAGAATCCACATCCGGGATATCAAACTCCAGGATATTCGTAGATCTTTGACTCTGGCCCTTGTGTCCGTGGTGTGGCCCTTGCGGCTATTTGAGGGGGACTTGTAGCTGAGGGACAGAGGACACCCTGACCGCTGCCTCGGCGTGGACTCGCATTTGCACCCATGCCCGCTCTGCTCTTACCCGCGGCTCCGTCCTCACCGTGCGCTCGGGCTCATGTCCTGCCGGCGGCCGCGCCCATCCCCTGTTTCCACGCGGCCCCCCACGGGCGAGGGCGTGCGGAGCCCGGCAGCCGCTGCTCAGCGTCCACAGCCTGGAAAAGAGAACGGGAGAGGAGGTCAGCGCGGCGAGGCCGAGGCACGCAGCCCTAGATATCTGCAATTGGAAGCTTCCGCGACGCTGGTGGCCCCTGGAAAGTTAGGCTTCAAAGCTCTTTCTCAGGGAGATGTGCTCCCACACAACCACGAAACTGTAACACGTGCAGAGCACTTCACCACGCACAGTGTCCCTGGGCCCCCAAGCGTGGCTGTAAAAATCAATTAGTCTTGGAACCGCAGGCCTCTCTCACTTCACCTGCTTGGTCCTGTGGTTCTCAGCCTGAGTTTGTTTGTTTATGTATGCATTTGAGACAGGGTCTCTCTCCAGGCTGCTGGCCTTAAACTCACTACTTACCCCAAGCTGGCCTTGAGCTAGCAGTGATCCTCCTGCCTCAGCCTCTGGGATAACGCACGCGCGTGAGCGCTACCATACCTAGCTCCTCAGCCTGAGTTTTAAGGGCAGCACCTGGGTCTAACGCCTCACCCTCCTGTGCTGAGTCCACCTGGTTAGGAACCCTCGCTCCCCAGGTGCTTGAGAAACGGAGCCAGGATGCAAAATCATGAGCACAAGCTGGGAACCTAGAGCCACACTGCGGACTTCACTCCCACCTCATGTTTATTCAGTTTGGCCCACGCGAGGGAAACATGCAGAGTGTGGTGGGGAAGGTCAGGCTTTGCGACAGGGGCCTCTTGTGCTCTAGGGCCTTAGCCCAGGACACTGCACACACGCATGTAAAAAGATCACATGGGAAAACCTGCACTTACAAACAGAATCTAAACACACCTGCCTGTAATCCCAGCACTCTGGGAGGCTGAGGCACGAGAATCACAAGTTTGAACCTGGTCTGGGCAACTTAGTGACTTAATGAGACCGTGTCTCTAAATAAAACATAAATAAAGGGCTGTGCTTGTAGCTCAGTGTGAAGGCCCTGGGTTCAATCCCCAGTAGGGAGAAAAAAAGTGATGGGTGAAAATAGCACAACTTTTTGAATACATTGACTGCAAAGTGCCAGTCAAATGGCTTTTGGAGAGGGCAGTTTCTGACTATGCGAGGCAGTGCCGGGAGGTCGAAATAGCATGCCGAATGCGAGACTCCACCAAGGCACGTGTTCCAGGGGCTCTGAGGGAATCAGTGGGTTCCCAGCAAATGCAGGCAGGCCACAGGGTCCTTCAGTTAGCACAGCCGTGTCCAGAAGCCACTGTTGCTCTCTCACGGCAGGAAGAGAGCTCTCAGTTTTTCTCGAAGTCCTCCAGGAAGCGCAGCTGCACAGGAGCGACACGGGTCCTCCCAGCCCTTGGGAAAGAAGGCTTTAACCCAGGTGGGGCCAAGTAGCAAGTTCAAGGCCAACCTGGGCTACACAGCCAGTTCCCGCCTCAAAACACCAAGAAACAAAGACAAAGTCATGCAGCTTGAAATACTAAGTTCCAGCTGGAACACACTGCTGCTCCAAGCCTGGTATCTGAGGCTCCTATGTTAAGACTTCAGGGTTTCTGAGATGCCACCCACACACATGTATCTCCAGGGCTCCCTCTTGTCACCTGCGGGCTCTGTGCCCAGGGAACATGCACTCCTCTCCCTCTCCCATGAGGCAGGCCTGCTCTCCGCGCCTCCTCTACACAGAGGAGCACAGTGAGCCACCCCTCCTCCCCAGCAGCTCACTTCACTAACACAACCTCCTTGAGGACCGGTCATGGCAGCGCACACCCCAGCACTGCCTTTTTTTTTTTTTTTTTTTGGTACGGGAATTGAACTCAGGACCTTGCCCTTGCTAGGCAGACGCTGTGCCCCTGAGCTGTATCCCTGGCCGCTGCCTTCATTCTTAAGGTGAGCAGCAGTCTGGGTATATGTGTGTGCACACCATGCACATGTGTGTGTCACATTTTGTGTATCTTTTTCCTGTGAATGACACTGTAGCAACACTTTCAGGCTTTTGTGTGAACATGGGTTTTAATCTTCCTGGAGTGGAACCCTGGAACAGGAATTTCTGGGACATATGATGAAATGGGGAGTTGATAATTATCCTACACAGCGAAGGTACCACTTTATACTCCCATCAGTAACTCAGGAGATGCCGGGCCTGGTGGCAGATTCCTGTGATCCTAGCACTCTGGAGGCTGAGGCAGGAGGATCTATGTGAAGTCAAGGCTACCCTGGGCTACAAAGTGAACTGAAGGCCAACCTGAACTGTACAACAAGACCCTGTCCTTTAAAAACAGTCCTCACACATGTTAGAGCTATATTTTTAGTTTTAGTTGAGCTTTTTGTTCTTTAGACAGAATCTATCTTTTTTTTTCAGTCTTTTTGAGACAGGGTCTCACTATGCAGTTCAGGCCAGCCTTGAGCTCACTTTGCAGCCCAGGCGGGTCTCAAACTCACAACGATCCTCCTGCCTCAGCCTCCTGAGTGCTGGAATTATAGGCATGCGCCATCATGCCCAGCTCAGGGTCTCATTAGGTAGCCCGGGCTGGGCTTGAACTCACAATGGTCCTCCTGCCTCAGCCTCCCCAGTGCTAGGATCACAGGTGTGCACCATCATGCTCAGTGATGTTTATATTTTTAATTGAATGAAATAAACTTTATAAACTTGCAATCTTTCTATGGATAACATGGGTTCTCAACAGTTTCCTCTGAGCTGCAATCTATTCTGACTTTATCCTTATTAACTTTTCACTGTGTTTGAAAAATGTAGTATCTACTGTCTGCATATCTTATAGAATGTAGATGAAAAAGAACAGTATTAACAATAGGTAAGACTTGCTGAAAGCCATCTGCAAAGCACTTCTCACTGTGTCCCCTGTCCTGGTGGACAGGCCTCTAAGCCTGGGTTCCTTTTTTGAGATGGGGTCTTACTACCTAGCTCAGGCTGACCTTGAATGTGATCCACCTGCTTCAGCCTCCTTAAGGCTGGGATTACAGACAGGCACCAAACCTGTATTCTTACCCCCCGGCTCCATGGCTCCACTGCTCAGAAGAGACTCAATGGAGAAAGTGTTTCACTTTGGGAAGGTGAGCAGGCTTTATTTTCAAAAAGCAACGAAAGAACTTTCTTTTCTAAAAACAAGTCTTCAGGGGTCAACTGCGCTCTTTCCGCCAATGTTGCCACCACAGATCCGGGTCCTGTACACCTTCAGGAGGAGCAAGGACTTGGAGACCCAGGCCTGCCCCACACGCACTCCAAGGAGCACTGCTGGGCACGGCTTTTATCCTGTGACTGCAGTGTGTCCACCAGGCCAGTGGGGTCAACCCGGGAGTCCCCCAACAGGGTCCTCACCACGTGGGGCCTGTGCATGGTGGTTCTCCTCTTGCACACGCATGTGCACAAATGTGCACACCCACCTTCTGCAAGCAAATGATCCCCACTGCACAGTTCCCATGGGGAAGCTGTTTAACCTGGGCTACAAAGTGAGTTCAAGGCCAGCCTGACTGCATAGTGAAACCTGGTCTCAAAAAGATCAAAACAAAACAAATGTCAGCAGCTTTGAGGCAGTGGCTCAGAATGCTTTCTTTCTTTTTTTTTTTTTTTTTTTTAATCTTTTTGAGACAGGGTCTCACTATGCAGTTCAGGCTGGCCTTGAGCTCACTTTGTAACCCAGACTGGCCTTGAACTCGCAACTATCCTCCTGCCTCAGCCTCCCAAGTGCTGGGATTACAGGCGTGCGCCACCACACCCGGCTAGAGAATGCTTTCAAACTCAGTGCCAAAGAACATCCCTGTCCTAAGGCATCAGCTCTAGGGTGAGGAGTAGGAGCACTTCCTCCTGCCCCTCCCAATGCACGCGCAGGGAGAAGTCGCTCAGCCTCTGTAGAACCGGGTCCCTGGACAGAAACACACTGCACACACAAGGCTGTTCCCGGCCCACAGTCTAAAGAACTAAAGTGTCAAACAAAGCTGAAATACAAAGCAGCATCAGAAAACTGTTTAGCACAGCACTGCACTGCCCAAAGAGTTTATTGACAACGCAAAGAGGGAAGGGAGGGAGGAGGTGCACAAACCCCACGGGTAGCACATGAAGGATGTCATCAATCACGCTGCATCCTTTCCAGAAACACGCAGGAGCTGTGGGCATCTGTGGCCCAGGGCTGAGCGCGCGTCCGCCATGTACTGCGCCTGCGCTGATCCCGGCACCGCCAAATGACATAAAACAGTAAGAACCAAGACGGAAAACACACACCAGAAGAAAATACTGCATGAAGGTCAAGCAGAAAGGGCAAATATGAATTCCTGCCTCCGAACCAAACATTTCCATGGCGCTCAGCCACTTCCTAGCTCGCCTCCTCGCTTTGGTCAGAGCCCGGGTACTGGAGATGTGCCCGGCTCCTAACTGAAAAGCCACGGAGGGAAAGCGTTATTTAAATCCTTTACAACATAATCACCACTCCTAATACCCAGGCATCATTTTTTCTTTTCATCTTTTTGAGACAGGGTCTCGCTACGCAGTTCAGGCTGGCCTTGAGCTCACTTTGTAGCCCAGGCTGGTCTGGAACTCACAACCATCCTCCTGCCTCAGCCTCCTGACTGCTGGGATTACAGGCGTGCACCACCACACTCATCTATCCAGTCATCTTGAGATCCCTCTAGAAAGTTCATTTTGAGAGGAGAGGGAAGGCGGGGAGGGCAATGGAGGTGAGGGGAGGAGAGGTTAGGAAGCTGCGCTGACTGTCACAGTGACCCCGTCATTTCCTTTCTCTCCACACAGAGATTCGGGTATTGGACTGAGTTTGCACGGTGACTGCAGGACCGTGATGCCGCAGGTCACTAAGCCTTGAGCTGAATCTCAAGTTCTCTCCCCAGTTCGTACACACTCAGGAGCAAACCAAGGAGGCAGGCTGGCTCTAATCCTGCAGTCTGCATAGCCTTAAACGGGTCATTTAAGGAAGCCAAGGCCCGCAGAGGTCCACACCGTGCTGAATTCTATTCCCCTTGCTTTACCCTGGCCCCAAGGCTTTGTGAGTCGAGGGCACTGTCCAGTTCCGTGCTGATGGGAAAATACACGGGAGATGCTCAGGAACAGAAAATCCGGCAACACGAGCAGCCCTGCATCGACAGGTTTCCACTGATATACGCTTACACTAAACCTTTCCACGAACACCCAGCCAGGCACGGTGGCACGTACCTATCATCCCAGCACTTAGGAGGCTGAAGCAGGAGGATCACTGCAAGTTCAAGGCCAGCCTGGGCTACATAGTGAGACCATGTCTCACAAACTCCAAACCAAACCAAAACACCTCCCTACAACCTGAGAGCCACAATGCTCACTATTGAGGTCCAGAAAAATTTTATAACACATATTCTGTTGCTTTAATCTGATAACTTCATATTACAAAGTGACAGAGTA